ACCAATTGCTTCTATGATTAGGATCTGATGTTTGTCTAGTTACATAGTCATGTCCTAGGATTCGATACTGGAATGGTCACCCTCCGCAATGGATATGAAAAGAATCTGTACAATTGAGTAGTTATTGGTAGAATTATTTGAATAAATTAAAATGATGCTAACGAGTACGTCTTTAAAATACCGTCATAAATTGAGGAAAATCTAATTGAAGACTAAAATATATCAAAATTTATATATTCCAANTGTTCCATTATCAAAGAAAAGGCCTTGATCTTGTATGAGAAGCCACTCCGCAGCGAAAAGGCCTTGATCCTGTATGAGAAACTACTGCGCACTCATTGGACAATTTCTTCAGCACCTATGAGAATAGACCAAGACACCTGAAAATATAAGTTCTTCGCAAATACTGTACATTCCCATGGATAAGTTCTTCAGCACCCATGAGTAACGCAATCTGGTCTAATTCAGAAAGCCATAGAACTGAAGCAAGCATTACAAATCGACGACAAACGAAAAAAAGCCTCTCTCTCCCCAGAACCCATTAGCAGACACTGATGTAGTGTGTTGCACCCAATTGCGACCCATTAGCAGACATTGATGTAGTGTGTTACACCCAACTCCTCGACGTAAGCAGACATTGATGTAGTGTGTCGCACCCAACTGCTCGACGTCAGACCCAAAAAAGCCTCTCTCTCCCCATGAACCCATTAGCAGACATGAAAAAGCCTCCCTCTACCCATGAACCCATTAGCAGACATTGATGTATTGTGTTGCACCCAACTGCTTGACTTCTTCAGGAATTCAAACACCCCTCTAGAGCAAATGCCCTCACTGGCCCTTGAGACCATCTATGTCAACTATCCTGGTGATCAATGACTCCAAGTCTTCGCTGATGGGTCATACATAGAAAACCAAGCAAACATTAGTGCAGGTGTCAATTCTGAACTCTTCTCTTTCTACGCAGCAGTGGGACACAATAGATTCGCTTTTGAAGGAGAAATAGAGGCCATTAGGATATCACTATGCCAATTA